GGTTCTTAACCCGACCAGGCCGTGAATAAATTGCTGGGAGTTCGAAAACTTTGACCGAATGAAAAAGTCAAATTTAGTTTCATTGACTTTCGAATTAAATTTAACTTTAGTTGCAAACACGAGAGGCTCTCAACTTATTGACCGTGAATAGACCGCAGTATCTCTGCAAACTTTAACAGTAGAAACAATAAGGTCCGTCGTTAACCTTTGTTTGAAATTTAGCTTTTCTCGGATGGCAGGGGTTTCCAACTATAATGCAGAGACTTGGCAAGCCTCGAACGAATAAATAAATCAAGTTCATTTTCCTTCGCCTCTGACCGAAGTGTAGCTTTGGCTACAATAGCAATGGTTCTCAACCTGTGGAGCATGAATAAATTGTAGTATCCCAGCAAACTACAATGGACGAAACCAGCGAGTTTACTTGTGATTGAAATTTAGCTTTGTTTCGATAGCAGGGGCTCTCAACTTACGAGTCGTGAATACATTTTAGGGGCTCCTGTGATCTTGAACGAACGAAAAGAAATGAGTCCGATTACGCTGACCTCTGGCTGAAATTTAATTTCCGCCCCGATAACAGGGGCTCTCAACCCGGGATCGGTGTATTTGTTATCAATGAAAACGTTTGAAAAAATTGAACGTTAACGATGTTTCGACTTATCGTTCGATGATTTTCAACTGCGACGAATCGTTCGAGCATTTATTTTTTTTTCTTTTCGATTTAAAAAGGTCGTAACCTTTTTTATTACCTCGGCTCTTATCGCGAGTCTCGATTCGCCTGGTCTTTGGATCGCGTGCACGGCGCACTTCCGGTCGAATATTGAACGAGACGCGTTCTTCGTAAAATTTGAACCCTCGAACGTGGCATATTCGCGAGCGAGCGAGCGAGAAATGCGAGCGGATGTAACTGCGATACTCGACGAGAATAACTCGGATCTCTCGGAGACGGAGGGAATAAATTTTTGCAAAGAGCCTCGAGTAAATATGTGCGCAGGCATGTATCTCTCGTGAATATACCCTTCGCTCGCTTATACATAGATCTGCCCCTTGCGTACGAACGAATCATGAAATAGCGATCGCGAGAAATAACTCCTGCTCCGACGCGTAACGAGACTATCCGCGAATCGGGAATTTTCCTTTTCGCGAAAAATAGCCGCGGTAATTGCTCTTGGAAATCTCCGATCCTTTTTACGTTATAGATTTAGAAATCCGATAGAAAAGCAAAAATACAAACGCGACGAATGTTCGTAAATAAAAATGTCTACAAAATTTAAATTTAAAGAATCAAAGTAGCGGTACAAACTATCACAAAAAAACAGAGTCGTGGAATAAAATATTTCATTAGGACGCGTCTGGAAGTTGATTGAGAGGTTAGAGGTTTTTTAAATAACCAATAAAAAAATTGGCGTTGTAATAGAAATTATAGTCAACGAAATTTAATTTCGTTTTACATTGTAACAAGTTTTGACTATCGTCGATTAAATACAACTAATCTGCATATATGACATTTAATATTATATCAAAACTTTAATAGAAGATACATAAAAGTCTAGACATTTGTAAAATCGTGTAAGATTCCTCCGATTAAAAATTAAAAATCATCCCTAACCTCAAAAAATAAATTTATCGACTGAGACTTACCTTCGACTTTCTTTATGGCCGACGACCGCTGCCCTACCACAGACGAGATATATGAATAGACGTCTCACGTAATGTAATTTTTCGGCCGGAGTTTCTGGGGTCCCGGGACCCCATTACCATTTTCGTGTCACTCGCTACGTTATCAACAGATTCAGAAATTAACAGAAGAGGAAGTGAGACAGAAAATAAAATTACATAAATTTTATTATTTTTTAACGGAATTAAAGCTGTAGGGTCCATCATTGGACATTAATCGATTAATTTCATTGGAGAAATCAATCGATTAAGAGTATTTAAAAATTTCAAGATTATTAAAATTCATAAGGATGTATTTCATTGATACGTACACCGCAAATTCTCTATTTTTTATTTTAAATTGTAATACATCATTTATTAAAAAAATAACTCGGCAGAAACGTATTTGCGACTCGAAATCAGTTTAATCAGACTGTGCATCGGGGCCCCGGAAACTCCTCATTCCTCGCTTTCGCACACTATGCTCAATTGCGTGTACGTGAGCTCGTTGAGTTTCGGAAGAGCCGAGAAGAACAGGCTGATACTCGCTTTCCTTCTCGCTCTTGCATCGCTGACGTCGTTTACATTTCTCGAAAGCAAGCCTGGCATCGCCAACCGTTCGAATCGTCAGTAAACGACAAAAGCCATCGTGACTGACAGACCTTACATTTCTCGAAATCGGACCTGGGCGCTTTTTGAAGATTCATTCACTTTCCATACGAAGCGACCATGCGTTATATACATATACATGTTATACATGCTAGGAACTATAAATTGTATAACTTTCGTTGTATATCTACTTTCTAATAACATGGGAAAATTTTAAAATATAAAAAATGTAAGAATACTGTAGAATTTTTGCAATGGAGAATTATTGAAAGAAAATGAGGTAATTATTTAGAAAAGGCCGGGTCTCACCGATTTCGATGATTTTTGAATATGTTGTAGAAATCAACATTTTGAGCAACTTTTTCCTATACATATAACCGCCGCTCGGCCTTAGTTTCCGAGATTTTTCTTCAAAAAGATCGCTACTACTACAATGAATTCTGTCTATATGTACATATCTGTGGCTCTGTATTGCATCAGTCCACGATCGTTGCTTTTTTCTCTTGTTTGTATTAGTCGGCATAACAACCGACGACAAATAATGTATAATGTGTCGAGCTAAATCTAGTTCTGCATTGTTGTCAAAGGTTCGAATTTTCTGAAGTATGGAACTCGCCAAATACATTATGTAGGCTATTTAGGTGAATTCTTCTTCCGTCGACAATATCATGCTAATGATCTAATAATTAAATTTGTCGAAATAATGGCTGAAATCTTTCCCACTTCTGATAATATCAATAAAGAAAATTGAATTAGAAAATGAATGCGTGGCCGCCGTTTGGCGGCCGGCTACACAAATCGAGTTTTTAAGCACAGCTGTTATACGCATTCATTGCCGGCCGCCTCGATGTATCTATAGAAAATAAAAAATAAAAATTTATTTCTCATAATTTTCTATGGTATGGTAAATTCTGAAACAATTCCCAATATACATAGGTTGATTTATACATGTTTCACAATAAAATGTTGTTTGACGTCTTTCTCCTGGTGTTTTCCTGTCGGAACAAATAATGCAGTCCCGGTTTCTTTGGTCTACATTTGGAATATGTAGCTTATTATTCATTCTATTGTCCGACAAAGAACGTTAATTTATTTAGATTATAACGAAGATAGCAATAGGAATGGTTCGACTTTGAATGAAGTTTCGATTTTACGTTTATAGTTTTTTACGTTTACGTTTTATGTTCTTTATGTTAAATAATTTCAGTAAACATTAAATAATATAGTTTATATAGTTACGTTTATTGTCCACGTGTTTGAATCCGACCATACGCCTCTGACCATCATCGACAATCCTTCCACTTCAACGTAAAAACGGCTGATATATTTCTCATTTTAATAGAATATTTCCCATTTTAATAGGAAAGTACAGGAAAACATGTGTTTCTTAAAAAATTGCGGTGAAATCAGTTCATTCTCCTTAATCACTAATAAACTTTCATGTCCCCTCAGAGGGGACGACCGAGTGCAAAGGGTTAAAATATGTTCATAAAATATTATCGTTTTAAAACGTGTATTTCCGTAAAAACAAATTTTTGTAATTTTTTCTTCATTATGGTATATTGCTTATACATTGTATATGCCTACACAGGTCAGAAAGTCAAAAATGCCTAGGCAGTCGAGAATCTCGGCTCGAGAATATGCGAGATCGAATTTCAGCTGTGGTGAGAGCAAGAAGGATAGACTGACATTCGCCGCCTTTCTCGAATCTACGAAGCTATACGAAACGCCAGAACTCATATACAAGGTGGTTGGCATTAGTGTGTGTGAGTGGTGGGGCAGTTCCCTTTGGGCACGGGTCTGCCGTCTGATAATACTCCACTGTCTTTTCCAATCCCTCCCATAATCAACTCACATGTATTTACGTACCCACTCAGCTGGCTGCCCATCAATACTAATTCAGTGCCTAGTTTCTCAACTAACCGCCATCCATGAGAAGAGGCCGCTAAAATCAGCTCCGAATTTTCAGGTCGGTATGGCAGTCAGATTCGGCCGCGAAAGTCCATAAGGTGAAACGTCTATTCATATATCTCGTCTGTGGCCCTACTAATGTCACAACCGTCGTTGCTTTCCGTCGATTCTTTTTCGAACGCTAAAATTCATCAATGTTGCATTCGACTGGTTCGCGGTTAGTTTTACAAGGATTGCGACAGGATAAAGCTGGAAATGCGTTAACCGTGGAGAATTAAACGCGAGGACCGAGGAGAGCAACTTTACCGACTTCGTGTCTGTTTCTTCTGGACACGAACAGATGGAGGTGCTCGGACAAGAACGTCGATCGGGGTCGCAACCAGTAGAATCCTTGGATCCATGGATCCCCTCGAGCTTTCTACATTCTTTTTTTCAGATTATTTCTTCTTCAATTTATTTTCTTTTCTATTTGAGAGATGAATATTCTTTAACGATACGAAATTTTGTAAATTAAAAGACCAAATTTTATATGAAACATTGGTAAGGTTGCAAAATTTCTTTAAAAATGGAGATCAGATTTTAGGAAACAAAATACGACACAAATGGTCGAAATTACAATTAGCACCGTAAGAATGATGTTATACTAAAACTAAACTTCTCTGTCGACGTAATAATAAATCTGTGATGCGGTAATTTCTTTGAAATCTCGTAAAATGAATTTTCTCGCGGGAGCAGGAAGACAGGAAACGACGGAGAAAAAACAATCCTCAGGAAACAACGGATGGAATCGCATGTGCAATATAGATATCGTGTATTATATAGGACGTCATTGTTACAACGTATAATCGTGTACCGCTGCATTCTCTGATTCCATTCGACGGAATCCATTTTTTTTCGCTTCTCTATCCCACGGGTGACGCAACAGGTGTGCAACACGCATTCTCCCGTGGGTTCTCCAAATTACCGAAAAAACAATTAATCAGACAGCTAACCACAAATCTACGGAACATTCTCTCTCTCTCTCTCTCTCTCTCTCTCTCGATATTGCACACTGATTCGATCGATAAAACGCAAACCGAGAACGAGGGAATTGGACAATACACGAATCGCAAAATAAACAAATTATCTACCCTTTGCACGACCCAAATAAAAATATTTAAAAAATGTATTTATTTATTGCGCTCGAAGGACTATTTAGCCTGGTCGAAATTTCAGTTTCTAATTTTAAATAAGTTTGTTTCAATAATCTAACCCTCAAAAGCCTTTTATATCGATCGAAAAGAAACAAACGTTTACATAACCTCTATCTAGCAAACAATATGTCCGATCCCCCCTTCGCGCACGAAAGCGACAAACGCGAATCAACTCGCATCCCTTAAATATCACATTGTGCGATCACCGGCTTCTTAACACAAGAGACTAGCTTAAGGTAATTTTCTCAATTCGCGGCGACGAGAATGTCGCCAAATATTCCTTGCATCTCTCGTCTTATGGTACAATTACGATCGAGGGGCACCTAACGTCGTCGATTCAAATTTTTTATTTCGCGTCTTACAAACATTCCTACCTTACTTGAGGAAACATCACCAGCCAGATCCATAGAAGATATGTAACATTTTCAATAACAACGTTACGTGTCCCGCATATTTTATATACAATCACCGATTTACTTTATTTCCCTATATACAATCTATATATTTTATTATTTCCTCCGTCACGACGAGAAAAAGAACATTCACGTGAATTTTCCCGTCGCGGCCAAAGAAGAACGTAATTTTAAGAAACCATTTTTTTTTTAAATACGACCCAGGTTAGCGAGATATCGATGGCAGATCCTCGATAATAATTCTACGCGATTAATATTAATCTTTTTGGAAATTAAAGCCTTCCGCCTCGGTTCGAGGACTTCGAACGACACACGGACGATTTCCTTGTCGTCTGGTTCGTCGATCAGCCATTGGTATCTGGCCCTGGGAGACCGGAGAGCCTCCCTGTCTACGTTCTCTGTCGTTGGAAACGCGATGGAGCCACCGGTCCTATCTACACCTATGTACATAGAGACTCACGCATACATAAAACGTACAAAAAATGATGAAACAATGGTCGCAATAAACGCCAGGATTGGTCTTTGTCCGAGACGTTCGAAACGTAGCGTCTGGTTCTAGGGACATTCGATTATGCATCGATTATACTTCGGTCGCGCGGTTCTTAAGATTAGATGCTGTAGTTCTGTTGCAGATCGCCAGAGGTCACTACGTTCGGCGTACACAATTTTTACGCGAGCGTTTCAACTCTTATGCCCAGGGCCTTCCCGCCAATTTACTCATCTTTTATAGAGATATATGGAACAGGAAAACATAGAAGTAGGTTCTTTGTTTTTTTCAAGCAGGATTGCAATCTCTTCGGGTTTCGATCGATTTTAGACGGCTTCTTATAAATATAGCATTCTTTTTGCGAACATATAGCTGCTAGGTAAACGAAACTCGAGCTCTTGTTTAACCTCTGACGTTACAGAGAAGGATAGCGAACGAGACGAAGAAAAAACGAGAGCCCGAGCATTCGTAGAAGTTTAAATGTTCCATGGTATCGATGTTCAAACGCGACGCGAAATAAAAACTTTTTTATTATTGCGTTCTTTCCTACGGTAATTCGTTTAAAAATTTACTATCAATCGCGAGTGAACATTGTTCAACCACCTGTAAAATTTACTATTTTTAAATGCACTAGTGTTAAATAACCGTTTAATGTATTTTTTAACACGCTGAATACTATGTCCACGGCATTCGTTCGAAACGAATAATACGCAACAAAAATCCAACCTAAAGCTTTTGAACTATGAAATGAAACGTAATTAGAGAAATCGTATTTTTAGCCGATTTTCGAGAGATCGATTTCGTGGGATTCAATTTTCTAACGCATCGATTCCATTTCGATTCGACATCGATCTCAGACTCGATTTCTTTACAGAAATCGAACATACCTGCGCGCAGTGAGCGACCGTAGTCCTTTCGAATGGATGCTTCTAGCTAGAAAGAACGAGAGATCGTGTAGTCTTCGGCCTCGTTTTCCTTCCTTCTTCGTCGGATCGCCGCGGCTCGTTCAGCTGGTCATCATCTGTGTGGACAATTGGGTACGTGGGGGAACAGATGGCAATGGATCGACCTGAATCTGTAATTAGAAAACATCGACTCGTCGACGCGAATCCTGAAGCCTAACAACACGCCTTACACGTTAAATTTCGGGACATTGTCACAAATTTTGTTCAGTTTAGATGACAATTCGGTTCAAGTCTGTCGTTTAGAACAGGGCTCTAGCGTGCGAACCATTTACTATTGTAAAATCATCGAGCATATTCTGACCACAATACTCTGAATTATACGGGCACTATACAAATGTAACGCAAACGTTTCAAAGTTACGAGTAGATCGAATTTCGTTCTCCCATAGATCCCGACGGCTCGAACTTCTAGATCTACTGAAAGCTAAGTCGAACGTGGCCTCGGAGTTAACCGAACTATGGATCTCCCAAAGTCAGAACCATTCAAATTAAGCAAACTGGATCTAACCACACGCTTCGGGAGTTCAATCCCGATGTAAATCTTACGTTCAATAACGGGAACGCAAGACTGAAAGCTCCTGTCATACTGTCGTCTACACAAAGGGACCTAATCGATAGATCTGCAAGAAGTACAACACACGGAACAAACTGGCGCTAGAAATTTCACAAAATCTAAAATAATAGCGGACGAGTCTGCCATTTTTTTTATTATTTCTTTTATATTTGTTTATTTCTTTAAATGTACACAAATATTTGTATTTTTCTTTTCCACGTATCGCATATCGAGAATTCCATCGAAGACCACCGAATACAAAATATTATTTTTACTCGCATGGCGGCGAGCAGAGTAATGGCCGCCAGTGGCGAGTTAAAATCTCAGTTAAAAAAAAAAGAAAAAAAAGTTCTGGCTGGTTTTTCCGCCTGGAAAAGCTCGAATGGAGGGCTCGGAGGTGAGGCACAGGACTCGTAAAGGCTCCCCGTAATTGTAATAAAGTCAATTAAAACCGTTGAGCCAGGCATCTTTATTATTGGCTCTTGCCACACGCTTCCGTCTTCTGCTCGCGCGGTTTCAGCGTCTAGCCGTCGTACCACACGTGTAGGCCAATTACACTAGCAATTCGAGCCTTTATGGAGAAACGGCTGCGAGGGAAAGACGGAGGTCGGAGAGGGGGGAGGAAGGGACGTTGCTCGAAGAAACGGGAAAATGGTAAGAGGAACGCGTCCTGCGCGGGAAACAGGACGAAGGAGACTGTGGGTTGCACGTTAGACCCGCGGCTAATTGCTCCTGCTGCCCTCTGCTGGATCGTAAAAACGACAAATTAGACCCGGGGGATCGCGAACACTCGTCACCTCCGTTGCACCTCGGTTGCCCTTTGCTTGGAGCCTTCTGACATACCGGTGGCGGTCACATAAATCTTGGGAAACTGGACAACTACCCCCCTCCCTCACCTCTACTAAACCATATTAAATCTTGGGTTTAAGGGGATGCTCTTGTCTAGAATGTGATATTTTCAGCTTTTTTCGGGATTTTTTTAAAAAAAAACTATAAAACTTTTTGTGTATCAGTTGTGGCACACATTTAAAGTATACAAATTATTTTTGTAAACAAAAAATAATGACAATTGCGTGAACCGTGTCTGGTTAAAAAAGGTATTGCAAAGAAAAAGTGTCTTGCTGGTGTGCATGATTCCGACCGATAACATAAAAATTATGAAATTGCAACGTACCTCTTAGGGTCGTCCATCATGTCGAATCCATCGATCTTCAAAATATTCCATTCGTCCCTGGAACCCTTGGAGTAACTGAACGACACCTGGAAAAAATAAAAACAGAGAAACAGTCAGCTATATCATTAACCACTTGTCGCTTCAAAAATGTCTGCATTGTACAATACACGCATGAAATAGATGAAATAGATCTTTTTAACCCTCAAGTGGACTCTCAATCTCAACTGAATTATTTTACTTAATGTTGATTTCTACCAAATTGTAAAAAAAACGCCCGTTAAAATGTATTATTCAGTAATAATAATAATAATAATAATAATAAAACTAAGGGGCTTAGATTCAGAATTATTTACCAGCCGTGTGTTTATTTCGTGTCAGACGAGTCGCCCAAGGACGAAACCGGGAGAAACGTTTAGACACCGACAGCTATGATCGGAAATGGAGGACGAGACGTTCGACGTCGTCGGAAATTTGCAACGAAAGGGACGCAACGAGTTCGTCGCCGTCGCCGACAGAATACGATACCCCCTTATTTTGCTTATGGCTCGCGTGAAACTCGACACCGAACGCCTGATCAAGTTCTGCCCACGAGCAGAACGAAAATATTTGTTTTGCGTGCGATACGGCCACGCTCGAGCGACAAGCAGTTTCATTTTTTACGTTTCGTATTTCCGCGCGATCGTTTCCCGTTCGCTTCTAAACAAGAACTACAAAAAGATTCCACACGCAATTTTAACGTTCTTACGACTGCTTTGTAAACACTTCCTCGATTACGACTCTCTTTTCGTAAGAGGAAATTATTATGGAATTCTAGTTTTACGATTTCTGTTGGAATATGGAAATTCAAGCATAGGGCTAACCGCGCCATCTGTTATCGTACAATATTGGTGCCATCTAGGTTTTATAAAAGTGCTGTGCACGTTTTCGACTTCTCTGTATAGCCTTGTGTTGACCTGGTCAATTATTTTACTAACCAACAATTTCGAAAGGCTGCTCAACGCCTAGATGACGATAGAATTTTAAAATAAAACGTCGATCGAAAGTGCCAAACTAGGAAGGCAAAGAAACAACAATGGCACCTGGTGACCGTTGGCTCGCGCGAACACAATGGTCACCTGATTTCTATGAGTCGGTTAGCCCCGACGGTAATTTCCAAACAACGAATGAGAACGGTCACGATTAAATAATGGCCATTGTGTTCCGTGAAGGAAAGCAGCCGCGGTGATTCATCGCGGAGATTATTCTATTACTCGCGATTAGACTTCACACGGCGACCCGTACGATCTTAATTCCGTCCCCCCGTCCTCCCACCCTTAATTTTTTTAATCCCCCGCTCGTACCGGATCAATTAATCATTGCGTGGAACGCGGTCGAGATTGGAGGCGCGCTGTACGTAGTGTTCCGAAACCCAACGCTCGATAAAACGGACAAACGATGTCGTTTTTTGATCGGAGAAATTAGCAAGGGCAAAGAACAACCGCCAGACGGCGGTAACCGTCGAGTGGCAAAATTCTACGGGCGCTTAACACTTTGACTGCCATGTCATCCATATATGGATGACAGGATTTACAATTATGATGCTAGAAAAATTAAGACGTTGAGGGAAATAAATTTGGATAGAATTTGTGAATTTTAACAAGGTTACGAAAATAAGTACCGAAACAAATTTTAGGTTATGTAACTTACAATGGTCTAAAATAAAAATTTTACTTTCGCAGAATATTATACGGCTTTGATCTGGCTGTGAACGTGTTAAACGCGATGCAATGAAATTGAAAATAAAGTCTTGAAAATTACCTGGTCAGCGAAGGTGTCCTTGTTAAGGAACTTCATTGGTTCCAAATGGGAATGGAACTGCTCGACGACGGTGAGCTGCTTTTTCAGGAGGTACTCGATAATATAGCCCATCGTCACGTCGTCGGGCAACCTAATTCTGTCGCCCACTGTGATGAACTTTCCGCCCCTGGAAGCGAACGCAAACAATCGTTACTCGTGTCATCGATTTATTGGCCAACCAGGAACTTCTTTCGGACACGACCGACACACCCGTCACGGACTTTGCAAATTCCTCGAACGTGTTCGCGCGATCAATTTCATAATACAAATCATCAGATAAATTAGCATAGTCTATAAACGCCAGACTTAATAAAACGTTTCAAGGAATCGCCTCGAAGTCTTGATTGCCGTCCAATTCTTTTGACTTACATAATTTTTCACAAGCAACATTAATAATATTCCAATCCAACATAATAGTTATATGTAAATGGAACGATATCTTTTTGCGAGTATATTAATTACTGTTGTATTTTTTATTATAATATGCATTTTAGGTTATACGCTTTAGACTGTGTTCTATGTGTTTACCTCTCGGCCAACGAGACGAAAGTGAAGGACAGTACAGAGCCAGATATCAGAATCTTCGTACTATTTAGAGATCACGTGACAGATTATATTGAGTTTACATTTATGACATTATGATTTACAACGATTACAATATTTTTTCTTTATATTAGGAACGATAGGGGAAAATATTTATTTAACTTTCGTACGTGAAATTGAATGCTTTGTAACATTTATTTAACACACTTTTCGGAACATTTAAAGCGTATTATGCTTTTGTGTTAAATAAAAAATAGAAACGAGATTCAACGACAATAAGTGATCGTGGAATTTTGTGTGTCTGCGGTTAAGAGTTACGAGATTAGTTCAGATTTTAGTATCACCTCGTAGAGTCGTGCGTAGGTGCACATCTAGCGCCAAGAGCGTCGTGTGCATGAATTACGGAACGATCCATCGGACGCGATACTTTTTCGCCGTTTCGAAGCGGATCCCGTCGCGTATGGTTCCCTAGGTACCGCACCCACCTTCGTCCTAGGATTATCCGGTGTTTATTACCTCCGCGGGTCGGGTGACCCCAACGAAAGAAGAGCGGAAGAGGAACGAGCAGGACTCGGCCGAGAGCAAAACCAACGAGACAGACCCTCCGACGATAATAAATTCTTCGACTCTATGAGCGGTTCGATTTGCAAGCTTGCACGCGCTCGCGTGTGCCGGGATATCCGGAGAGTCCTGGACATACTGTGACTCGTAAGTAACAGTAATTATTATTTACTGCTCGAGGAACCATTCGTTTCGGAACCAAATGGCCGAGACTAGACCACGATAAAAGCGGCAATTTATAGTACTGGCCTGGTGTAGCGATAAATAGAGAATTTCTAAAAATTGGAAAACCTCGAGTAGGACGTTGCCAACTTATATTTCTTGGACGCCAAAAAGAGAAATTCGTGTATCGTCTACCCAACACGATACTCAACAAAATTTCTCGATGACAATTATTTATAATACCACAAATTAATTTCACTCTTTTGCCGTTACTTTTGTAAATTATAAATTTTCCAACATTCGATATCTTGATAAAACAAAATTTTTCGATGACTATTTATAATACCACAAATTAATTTCACTCTTTTGGCGTTACTTTTGTGATAAATTCTCGAACGTCCACTCGATACTTTGAGGCCCCTCCAAAAGATAAAAGGGAACGGATGGATAATGGCGTCCAATAATTTGTTTAGAATTCCCTAAACGTTTTCTGTGGATATTCCAAACGTTCCACGAGCGTCGAACCCGACTCGCGAGGAAAGACGAACGAACGAACAGCGACGGCAAAATTTGGGCGAAACAAGTTTCGGTCAATTTGAACACAAAAGGCAGCGTGGCTCGCGGAACGACGATTCCTCGGAGGGAAATCGTGTCTCCTTGGGTCGGGGCTGTTTCCTGTCGATCTTAATCGCGCATGCGTGCCTCTGGTGGCACGCGAAAGGTTTAAGAAGCGAGGGTCCGGATCGCGTGACTTTCCGGGCCTCTGTGCCGCGTAATTTATTCGCGGAGAGGGGACTAGCACCTTTTCAGTTCTCGTACCGCTTTTTTCCCATAAGTTGCCCGCAAAGGGTTGTCTCGTCGTCCCGGCACGCTTCCGTGAACTTGCCCGGGACTATGAAAATGAGTTAATTGCTTCCTACGGTGGGGGGAACTAGGCTCGAGACGAAGTTCCTCCGACTCGGTTGGAACATTCCCGGGACGCTATTGTCGTTTCATATCGATCGACTCGCTTCTTCCACGAATCGAATTAACGCTTGGATCGTCATGTCATATACGGGATGACAAAAAATTTACTATCATCTATTACAGTCTATTTTGTACATTATATTTTTATTATTTACAAATATATTTTTCAAGTCGACGAATTTAATTTATTTTGTTATTTATTGACTTCCGGATGCACTCTTCGTCTTAACGCTAGATTTACTAGTCTTTTTCAAGTTGTTAAAATGAATCGAATTAATGCTTGGATCGGCAATATCAACCGTATACGGGGTGACAAAAATTTTACTATTATCTATTACAGACTATTTTGTACATTATATTTTTATTACTTTCAAATATATTTTTCAAGTCGACGAATTTAATTTATTTTGTCATTTATTGACTTCCGGATGCAACCTTAGGCTTAACGCTAGATTTACGGACGTTGACTATGTACCTTTTTTTACTGAAACCCGTCTTTTTAAAATGTTTAAAATCTACAGATTTTTATTTACTGTAGTCTCTTGTCTACTTGTTATGACTAAAAGAAGTCACGATTAGTCTGATTTACAACAATGTCATTAAAAACCAATATGCAATGTCTAAAGAGTATTTGCATGTTCAGAATTTTTAAGCATAAATCGAAAACTCGAATTGACGGGTTCCATAAATCAAATGTTAAGCAATCTTTAATCAGCAACGACGCCACGGAGAGAGCTCGCAATTCCTCGACGAGGGTTCCCGGTCGAGCGTGAAGCGTCGTATCGCCAGTTGACTTTCGACCGCGAGAAATATTAGAATCTGATAATGGGAGAGTAACGAGGGGCCGGTGCATTCGGCCCCGGAATGGAACGGAGCCGGATCGGTTTAATTGTCGGATTGCGCGAGGAGGAGGCTGGCTCCTTAATTTAACGGCATTCCACGCATGTAGATTAGTCCGTGAGCGTGCACCTGCCGCGGCCCAACGGCTGTCGTCGTCTTCTCCCGCTCATCGCTGGAACTGGTTGGTCGCATTAAACCGAGTCCCCTCGCATTTATTAAAGCCCCCGGGGATCGCTGTGCAGCGCCGGTATATCGAATCCAACCTGTCCTAACGAATTTCCAACGATTATGCGATAATACGACCTATTAATTGGATCGATCCCATCCCATTAATTCGTACGCCGCGGCTTTCGGTTCCGGGCGAAGAAAATGGAACATGCCGCGGACGGAAACGGGGCACGCGCGCTCGTGTTCGCATTCCGGGCTCCTGGTAACGCGCTTTGCCACGCTTCGACGAGCTTGAAATTATTTTCTACGAAGGAGGACCCGAAGAGGAATTAATTCGAGGGAAGAAACGTCCGCGCGTTAAAACGCGTTCATTCGCCACGGCGATCAGGGTCGTTGGGAAATTTATATTTGCCGGAAATTCGACGGGGTGGCGTATGACCTTGTAAATTTTAGAAATATCGGAGGGAGCGGGATCGAACTCTTAAAAAAATTCCTTATCGAAAATCTAATTAGGTGCCTAAATTTTTCGGCGAAAAAAAAAATTTCAAATCGTTCTGGAAAATTTATTCTCGGTTGCGGGAGTCAGTTACAATTATTTTTAGTGAATAGACATATCCCCGTAATCCTGCGCATTTTCGAGAAAAAAATTCAATACGGGCGGAACTTTAAACGTTAATAATTCTTTAAGGAAGCCTCCATCAACAAATTGGTATTCTTGATTTTCGTCTTACTTTGACGTCTAGAATATCCCATTACAATTTTCCCCAGGGGTGGCCGAACACCCTGTATAACTGTCCGAAAGTTATCAATACACCTCCCAAATCACCCGATCTAAACGTAATTGGGAGAATATTTCGCATGAATTGGAAGTAAGGATTAGAAAACATACGATTTCTATAAAAATTATTTAAAAAAGACATTGCAGGAAGTATGGAGAAAAGTTGAACCCGATTTTACACAAAACCTAGTGAAATCAATGCCGAAAAGATTACATGCCGTAGAATGCAGCCGAGTCTTTATTTTAATTTAATTTAAATACAAAACAATATTCTTAATGTGTACGAGTTCAGCTGTGAGATGTTTTCTGCACAGTATTATAGTAACTTAATTTTTTTTATGTTAAGCAAGATTCATTTCTTTTGTCATTATGACACAATAAATGCAGATGTATTTACAATAATATGTCTGCCTTATTTTGTTTCCAAATCATTTCTAAACTTTTTTTTTAGAATGAAACCTTTTCATATAATGTGATGTACGATTTTGGCTGTGACTCACTGTACATGGGAATTCGAGACAAAAATCATACCTTCTGAGGTAATTAATTTTTTACCTAAGACCCCTAATACAATATTTTTTTAAAGAAAATGAAAAAATGCATCAAATGTTGCATAAAAATGTATACAGTTTCCTAAAAAGAGTGAGATGATCTTAAATTTTTTTATTAAATAAAAAATTGTTGCCAATCATAACTATTGCAATTTCTTTGCAAGCAATTACTGACTAACTTTTGCTTGAGACATTTTTTTATTGTATCAACGAATATGTCTAAAAAATCGTAATAATCATTTCGAGTATATGGGCAACCGGAATAACTATGTATTCATTCTCAATTTTCCTTTTATTCTTTCTTTAAATAATCAAGTATTACTTATAGCCCAAAAAGTATGTGAAAGTAAATGTATAACAAATGAAACAAAAAATATAACGAGTATTTTCTCCGTATCGGGCAAACTTGAGTTAGGTTAGGTTTGGCGTTGACTTAAAGTTTAATATCCTCTTAATTAAAACAAAAATATTACAAAGTTACTTCTTGTTACTGTTTTTAAAACTCGAGTCAAAGTTGAAAAACATTCAATACAAGAAATTGAGAGATTGTTAGTATTG